TGAAGAACAAAAGGACAGCAACTTGTCTGTTCCCCTTCTCCCAATTCCCCAGCACTGTTCCCATCCCCCCAATTCCCCAATAAAAATCTTTAAAAAAATAAAAAAAAAGAAAGAAACCCTGCTCTGATGCTATCAGTGAGGAAGGGATGGAGGCAGGAATTCAGTTCTTCCCAGGCTGATACAGGATCACCCCAGACACCACAGGGGAGACTCAGAAGTATGTCATTTAGCTCTGATCCCAGCAGATAGTGTCTCCCCAGATCCCCGGCCCTACTGTGGCCTGCAGTCCCGGCAACAACTCCCACGCCCCCATCCCAACCAGGATTCCTTGCAGATGCCCCCGAAATCTCTGCCTCATGTATCTACTCTTTCCTGAATGCAGGAAACCAAGTAATTTGGGAACCTCCCAGCCAGTCCTGTGTTGCCCATAACCTTCTGTGTCATATGACATAAACATATGAACGGTTGAAAAACAACAACAAAAGAAAACCCTATAAGAACAAAAGAAAACCCTATACCAGGGTATGCACTCTGGTAACTTAATGAGATATTTAGTTTGTGTGCTGTTTGCTAATTCTCCTCCCTACCCTGAATGACAAGAAGGTAGCCTGGGTCCCTGGCAGAGTCCCAAGGAGTGAGAGGCGGAACAACTGTAAATGTCCTCAGTGAAGGCAGAGTCCTAGGCACCAGGGTTCCAGCCTCAGGAAACATCCAAGGCAAGACCTAAGCTTGGCACAAAGGTTGCAGAACTCCAGGGCTTCAGAGGGGGGAGGCCATTGTACAATGAAAGTTACTGATAACCTTTATCTGTAGCTCCTGCAGACAAAAACTGTATCCATTGGTCCCAACATTACTGCAAATTATCATTCCTCCTCTGGATTCAACCACAGCAGAATTCCTGGCTATTAGTTTTAAAAACACTTATCCGTTGTCCTATCAGATACGAGTTCCCATGCGGAAGAAGTTTACAACGTTCCAGTGTCCTGAAGAGAAGAAGTTGGTCGTCAGCTTTCCCAGGTTACGAATAGATGGATTTAGCTCAGGAATGAGCTGGTAAGTGTTTAACAACTGGCTTGTGAGGTGAGGGGGTCGGGGGGTAGAGACAGTCCTGATTTATAGCATATGCAGATTTACACAGTGTAAATGGCAATTTCGAGTTACCATCTTAAATCACTGAATGGGGAGTTGAGATGTCCACACCATTACATGATATTTCCATCATACTGATACAGTAGGTCTAAATAACCTTAAAAGCACAGATAATAATAAACTGTAGTAAAATAATTAAGAAGTGATGAGGTTTTGAGTATGTATTATTTTTGTTTCGACTAGAATTTATTTGCCAGTTTATATGTGAATTTGAATAGTATCTGTGTTCAACAGCCAGCTTGTAAAATTCCCGAAACTTTATCAGCTCCTATAAGTTCAAGCCAGGTCTCAGCATACTCCTGATTGAGCACAATTCTGAAAAGCTGGTCAAATGAACGGTAGATGTTGCTGTATCCCTTTACTTACATGATTCTCAGTGATAATATCACTCGCCTTATCCCTGACTTGATTTGACATAGCACAGAAGGGACAAATCTATATGGATGGTCAAAGGAAAGATTTCCCCACCTTTGAACAGGCCTCTTCTTTTCGGGCTGCTGCAGTCTGACAATGGAGAAGGTATCATCTCGAAAGGACTGTGCAGACATGTCTAACCATCTGTTTGCATGCCGTGCTGCTGCCAGGGAGGGGGAAACCATGGAAACTGAAGCAGGAGGAGCCCTGATCTTTGAGAGTTTTGTTTGGAGTTTCAGCAGAAGATTAAGAGGAACTTTACTGCACAGGGTTTCAGTAGTCAGTATTGGCAATAGAAAAAAAAAAAGGAAAGTTCTGACAAGGACAACAGAGACCAAGAGGAGGCTATTTCAGTGGTCCAGGGGGAAGAAGATGAGGGCCTGAACTTGGGTTATGTGAGAGGGGCTAGAGAGAGGATAAATTGAAGAACCAGTTAGAGGTAAAACTGACAGAATGGTGAGGAGAGGGCAAGGAAGATGTCAATAACAGGACTGAGCTAAAGGTCCCAGGAACAGAGTTGGGGTACAAGTGATGAGTTCAGTGTTACAATGTCAAATTAAACTTGTCTTATTAGGAAGACCACTTCATGGACAGTGTAGATGCCTGACCACTGCACTATCCANCCCGGACTGGGTTTGCTCCCGGAAACCCAGTACCCTCGGCCCTCGCAGAGGCCCCACAGAAGGGGCTCACCTCGCAGGGAGCCCTAAAGCAAGGAGAGGCCCAGCAGCAGCAGCAGGAGGAGGTGCGCACCCATCTCGCACAGGACCGGGGAGTAGCAGAAGTAGGACAGCGCTGCAGGTGGCCAGGCCCTGAGAATCCGGCTTTATGAGGAGCAACCAATGGGAACCGAGGCAAAGGGCTGCACTTCCCAGGATGCGGAGCGAAAGGAGTTCCTGCTGCCTCAGGCTCTGCTCGCCCCCACTGGCCCTACGGAGGGTGGAGGGTGAAGGAAAGAGGGAGCCACGTTCTGTCATGGCTTCGTTTGCTCTCATTTTCCCTAGCTTTTAAATGGGAGAATTATGCCTGCCTTACTCAGCCCAAGTAATGGTGAGATTTGGGTAAATGGATGAACCTGGAAGGGTTCGTGATCTCCCTCACTGAAGGGACTACTTCTCTGAATATGGTGTGAGTCCAGCTATTGAAGTCTCCTGATTTCACGGAAATGGTGTGTGCCTACACTAATAAAGCTCTAGCAAAGTTACATCTATCTTCCAGGCAAGCTGCATTTCAGACGAGATATTTTTATGAGTGTAAATTTTAAAACACTGAGCTGGAGAAAACGTTTTGTAACGTTTCTTCAGGCTCCTCTGCAATCTTCCGCACGCCCCAGAACCTGGGTCCACTCGTACCCAAACACGGGACTTCAAGAATGAACACATCCCTTCCCTTCTGTATTGTCCTTCTCTCCCAGCGTAAGAACAGGAAACAAACCGAAATGTACGGCTAACTGCACAGGGTGTATAATTACTCCCCAGTCCAGCTCCGAAGTCTGAGGAGGCTGTCACATACTCCATCCCAGAACAACATGGGACATTGATTGAGCGCTTGCTATATTTCAGTCACAGTGCTGAACACTTGAACAATGTTATTCCATTTGATTCTCAAAAAAGGGTCTTTATGGTCATTATTAAGATCTCTATTTTATTGATTAGAAGGAAGCAATCAGGCTCAGGTGCCTAAGAGGATAACTAGCAGAATCAAACCCAGAGCTGCAGGCTCTGTTGATCCTGTGTTCGTAAATGCAGACCCAGGGAAAAGCCCCGAAACTGAAAATCTACCTCCGTAAGGGGGGGGGGGATAGGGAAAGACCCAAGGAAAAAGGCTGGTCAGTCCATTCTGGTATTTAATGGAGTTTATTGAGGAAGACTTACATATGAGGCTTTTCTTAGGCGGCTGCCAGACAAAATGGATCCCAGAGCAGCTTGTCAGGCACCAAAGAATTATATGGGAGGTGCGGAGGGAGATTGTCACGGGCACTAGTATGAATGCTACCAGGTACAGGAAATTACTATACATGCTTGACCAGGACAGGACAGCGGCCTATTCCAGGAACCAGCACATAGCAGG